GGCTCTAGATTCGGGAGAAAGGGAATTCACGGGGATAAAACGGTCGAGCGTCCTCGAGATTCGCGAGAGCACCTTTCACCGCGCGCGCGCGCGCGCGAGAGAGAGAGAGAGAGAGAGAGAGAGCGAGTGAAAAGAGAGGTGAGAGGGTGGGCGCCACGCGTCGCGTCAAGTTCGTTATATGGGTCGTTGTTGCGAAACGCCATTGAGAGGCGCTCGACAAAGCCGAGGAATTGTCGGCCTTGAGGATGGCGGCCGATCGTAGTGGCGCAACCGGCAGGACATTGGCCTGCATCCGATCCTCGCCGCGGTACGCTTCGGTCGCCTCTTCCCTATACCCACTTTGCCATTTGCATACCGGCCTTGCTACGCTTTCCACCTTTGTCCGCTTTGCTGCTCTCTGTATATCGCGCCGATTTCTTCCTCCACCTCTTCTCTTTCTCTTCTCTTCTCTTCTCTCGTCTCGTCTCGTCTCGTCTCGTCTCGTCTCGTCTCGTCGACGACAACAAAATAGCAGTAATCTCGCTTCGTATACAGCGTGTGTTGCTCTTTCGATCGGTAACTCCCTTATCGATAATGAAATCAATTTTACGCCGTGTTGCACCACGACCTCCGACGGGTGCTACGCCTCCGCTCCCCTCGCTACTCCACCTCGCCTTCTTCCTCGCCACCGATCCCCTGTGCGCCGTGCGTAGCGTTGCCTGACCAGGCCAGGCCAGGCCAATCCAACCCGTTCAGGCAGATCTGCTACCGATCTTTTTGTTTGCCGAGACCGATCCTTTCTCTCTCTCGCTCGCTCGCTCGCTCTCAATAAAGTCATGCCAGTGAAATCGGCTGTCCTGAGGACTCTCGATAAAAAAAAAAAAAAAAAGAAAAAAAAAATGTAAATGGCGCGGCGCGACACATGTGCCGAGGCGTTGAAAAAAAATCCTATCGCGTATTACGCCCCTCGCCAACCAACCAACCAACCAACCAACCAACCAACAAAGCAACCAACACGCGTCGGGTCCGCTGTTGTTGCCAAGGTTTTTTTTATCAGCAATGTCGGCCATTGCGTGTATTGCCTTTTCGAACGACCGTTTCCCTACGGTATTCGTACGGAAAGCGGCGATATCGTTGCCGGGTTTTGCGACTTGCGTGACGACTGCCATGTTTACGAAGCCGAGTTAGCGCGACACGGCCCGCCGCGCCACCTGCGCCGTTACCTACCCCTACCTCCTGTCAACCGACCGACCAGCTCGCATCTCTCCTGCACCCCTTTCTGTCTTACGTTTCTGAGCTTACCACGCCGGTGAACCCGGTAATTTCGCGAAAACTGCCACCGCCACCACCGCGTTGTTGTTGTCGTCGTCGTCGTCG